CCTTCTCTGGACCTACACTCTCTCCTTTTCTCTTTTTTGGTCTTCAATTTTTTTTAAAAAAAATATTTTTATCTTGGCCTACTTTCATCTCTCCCCCTCCTCTTCTATTTTATATTTTTTAAATTGATTTCAAATCTCCATTTCTCCTCCTCCTCACCCTTTTTCAAAAACTTCTGTAATGCAAGCCTCTCTCTCTCTTCCTCGTCTTGTCTAAGACTTCTTAGCAAGCGTTTTCTTTCCCCTTCTGTTTTCTAAATTTTTCTTTTTCTTCCCTAGTCACCATATTTCTGCTTTAAACTCTTTTTCAAAACCATTTTTTAAAATTTTTTATTTTTCCCTTCATCTTTAAAAAACCTTCTTTTATCTTCCTTTCACAATCTTTTCCAAAACCTTTTCTTGTTCTTTCTTTCCTTTCACCACCTCTCGTCTTTCCTTTCAAAACTTGATTTTATTTTTCCTTTCCCGCCGCTTCTCCTCCTTATTTTCCAAACACGATTTAATTTCTTTTCCTTCTTTGTTTTTGGAGAGTTGTTAATCCTAAGGTCTCAATGTCCACTTTGGATGTTGAGATCCATCAAACACAATGCCATCTGAATTTTCAAGCAAAAACAGCTGAAGATGAAAGCAGCAAATGGTAAAAATATCACAAATCTCAAGACAAGACTTGGTTTAGGAACTGTTGTAATTTGAGTTGTATTTTGTTTAAGAGTTTTTTGTTAACAAGCTGTATATTATGATAAACTAAAAGAAAGTTATAAAATTAGTTCTCAGTACAGCGACCGGAACTCTTAAACACTTGTTTGTCATCATCAAAAAGGGGGAAATTGTTGGGAAAAATTATAGATTTTGATGATGATGTATTTAGATTGTAATAGAGACTTTAGGTCACCCCCATTATTCAATGTAATTTTCTTTTTAGAAATATTGTTAAAACCAAGTTTTTGAGATTTCCAATAAAACTTGTGATATTTCACTTTGTGGTTTGATGTTACTCTTTGAAAACTTAACAAATCCAGTGATACGGAAATTAGAATTCTTGCTCGGAAATGTCAAAGACAAGGAATTCTCAAAGAAGTTGTTTACTTTGAAATTCTCAAATCTGGAATGCTCTATCTCACCCGGAAGTCTCGCTACAACCCGCTGAAGGCTAAGTCATCCGGATCGGAAGACTAACGCGGATCTCTATCTCACCCGGAAGTCTATGAATGACTAATCCGGAACTGTCAGCTAAGAATCGGATGTCTCAAAGAAAACCGGAATTATCAGAAGCAGACAAGTGAGAAAAGACTTAGAATTTATCTAAGTCATGAATGAAGAAATTCTAACCGTTGGTAAGAAAAAATCAATTTTTTGATTTTCAACGGCTAGATTGAGGATAATTAAGCTGATTCAAGAACAAATGACATGAAGACAAAGTCTGAACTTCTCAAATTGAAGAGCTCGCCTAGAATTCCTAAACAAACACAAGAAGACAAAATGGGTACTCCACTCAATAAAGGGATACAGTCCAGAATTCTTGAACAACAGCTAGAGGATGGATTCTGTGAAAAAGGAATCCTTCTTCAAACAATTGGGTATGTCCAAACACCCACTCCAAAGGAGAATCCTCAATCTCACTCTTCGCTCAAAATTGAAGCCAGCAAATGCAACGGATAGTATATTCCCTTCAACGGATAGATTATCCATCCAGCCTATATATAGCTCTCATGGAAGACTGAAGAAGATACGGTAGAAACAATAACTAAGTGCAACAACAGCAAACTGTTGGAACACACTTTGTACGATAAACTAAAGTCGTGTTCATTTCTGACAGGTTTTGATAATTGTCAAACTGCCGTGGATATAAAGAGTTTCGTTGAATAACTCAAGGCGTGAAGAATGGCTTGGAACAAGACCTAAAAGACTCAAGGACAAGATCAAGAATTGAAGACTTAGTCGAGTCGGTCTTTTGTGATCAAAACCGACAATAAATTCAAGTCTCGGTTCTCAAAAAGTCAAAACAATTTTTACAAATCATAAAATATTTTTTGTGCATCAAAACAAACATTTTTTATGATTTCTTTTATTGTTAAAATCCCTGGTCCTTGCTCGGAACCGAAACCACCTAAGTCGGTGTTTGGCTTTCGGCGTTCGGTTTTTGGCGCCCGAACCAACACCGTGGTTTTCAATATTTTAAACCCTGTTTTTACCTCTGAGCATTTTTAAAATGTTCCCAAATAATTATTTTAACCACTTTTGTATCTTGGTCAATCGGTCTAACACGTGAAAAATGGTCAAAACCGTACGCACGTATTGTACGACCTTGGAGACTTGGGTTTTTACCAAACAAGTCTTGTTTTCACTATTTTATACCATATACAATATTTTTCAAACCTGGTTTTTACTTTTGGGAACACTTCATTTTTGGACCTCAGTTTTTCAAAACGGGTTTCAACTGGCTAGACTTTAGCTGGGTGATAATCGATTATCACCTTACTGACAATCGACTATCAGCCCCTGCAGCTTTGAACTTCCAAAGTTCTGAAGCACGCAATAATCGATTATCACTTATGCAATAATCGATTATCAGTCTTTGCAGCCAAAACCTAGAATCTTCTGAGAGGACCAATAATCGATTATCACTTGTTGACAATCGATTATCTGGGTTACCGTTGTCCTCCAACGGATAGAATTTCAAATTTTTGGACAAGGAATCTTTTGATAATCGATTATCAAGCTTGGATAATCGACTATCAGCCTGTGTCCCTGAAAAATTTGTCTTCATCTTGTTGGAAACTCTAGCAACGGGTTTATCCCATTTTGGGCTATAAAATGGCACCCAAATCCTCTCATTTTACACACAATTCTTCAACATTTCAATACTCTTTCATTGCATAAGCATTCCTATTTTTCTTAGCTATTTGAGAGCCAATTCTTGAAGAAATTGTCATGTTCTTGAGCGTTTACTAGTTCACTCATATCTACTCTTTGTGAGAGTTTTATTCATGAGTGTTTAAGTGTTTTCATACACTTTAAGGGAGGTTGTTCCCTTGTTGTAAACTCGAAGGAAGTTCCTTGTTCCTTCGTGAGAAGTCTTGGAGTGCGGTATCTCCGAGCAAAGGTGTTGAGGCTCGTGTGACTCGGGTTTTCAAGTTGTATCGGTTTGTTAAGCACCCTTAAGCTTAACGGAGTTAGTGTAGCTCGAGAGAGTCTCTCGGGGGGCTGGATTAGCCACACGTTGTGGTGAACCAGGATAAAATTCGGTGTGCTCCTTCCTTACGCTCTTTACTTTAACGCTCTCGTTTTTAATTTCCTGCGACTTTGTTTTAAACGCTATTCACCCCCCCCTCTAGCGTTGGGCCTTTATTCTAACACAAACAACTCAAAAAGCTATCTCATTCACAGTTAACCAAAAAGCTTGATAAAGAGAGATCTTGATATACCTCGGGAGACTACCAACGACTCTAAAGTCGTTAAGCAAATTAATGGAATAATGGCTAAATGTTATGATCCCTTTTGGACCGAGCTTATCAATCCTGAAACCTGCCACATAGCCATAATTTCCCTGAGCCCAACTCCCACTTAAAACCCAGTCATTCTCATCCAAGCCAATCCCCAAAATATCCAAAAAAATATTAAACCCAAAACTATATTTCTTTTCCTTACCTTTCCTCCCTCCATCCCTGACCAAAAACCTCAGCCCTTAACCATGCCTTTACCACTTCCTTACACCTCAACTTGGCTAAACAAACAGACACAAAAATCCAAGATACTTTGGCCCACACCCACACCCTTCAACCCCCTTTGATTCCCCCATATCCTGCCTAGGAAATGCATCCAAATAGCCTACCATCCAACCTTTCCTCCTACCCAAAAACAGCCCCACCAAAGCCAATCAATTGTGAATTATATTCACATATTCCCTCCTACCACTAATGGCCAAGAATCCTACCCTTCAAGTACAATCATCCCTGTGTTC